ATATAAGAAAAGACTGGTCCCAGCTCAAATCTCCCACAATGTGTAAGCAAATTTCACATTCTTTATATTATATTCTTACAATCTAGACATCAACGCAATAATTCACTGTCGTTTTCATCATATTAAACTAGATTCTACACAGCTTTCAAAGTCGTATGTTTAATAAAATTTTTTCCATTGTTACTGATTCCGCTAACAATAGTTAATTGAATAAGTGAATTTTTCCTTTAGGTCATATCTTTCATCCCATCCATATACCAGCTTTTGTTTATCAGTCTTTGATTTTTCCTTACGTTCTACTTCCCCTTTAAAGAAGAGAAAAGAGATCTGCTTAAAGAATCAAAACAGGAACTAATAAGAGAAAGACCAGTCAGAAGTTACCAATCAATCTCTAGAAAAAGACTGAATCTTGCCCACTTATCCCAAATATCTCCGGCACCGAATCTTGAGGTTCAATGAGTATTGCCGTGTCATAGAATGAAGACCAACAAGTCCAAAGAGATACCATAGTCTCTGTTTTTTGACATTTAAGAAATTATGATTTTAAATCGAACACAAAAGTTCTAAATTTTTTTTAACTAACAGTTTATTTATGCCATATGGATGTAGATTGATCTGCTTCACTCTCTTTCCTTTCAGATGCAGATATTTTTTCAAAACATCCTTACTTGTCATATCAACACTGATATAAATGAGATATGTTTTGCTTCTTGCGTGCTGTTTTACCAAATTGGCTCGGCACTAGCAGCAGTAGCTACTAACCATGATAACCTCACTCTCCAAATCTCAACTCCGAAATCTTAATACTTTTGAGCTCTTATTTCCAACTCTATCTTTAGAGCACTATGTTTTCTAATAGCGCTTATGGTGCCTAATATCACATCCAGTGCTAAAGGCACTACCTGAAAAATGTGCTGTAACTGCTGTGTCTCATACTACACCCGAGTATCTACTTACTATCCTAAGTTGTTACTTTCTACCCACAAGTGCTTGCCTAATGGATGGCATTTTGGGGTTTGCAGAACCAAGGACAGGATTTACTATACATGACTATTACTATAGAAACAATTATCTACGCATTATCTTCATAAACTTCATGTATAATATACGAAGCTCTATCATATGGTTCAAACCATCGGCCAAGAATAACAATATATCTAAAAATCAGAGTGATTGAGGTTATTCTCGAATGAATGATCTATAAGTCATGTTGACTACATTTTGAGATTTTTGCTAATTGGCGTAGGACAAATATGAAGACTCGTAAACTCTTGAAGATGCTTAAGAACTTACCTCCGATTTAGACATATAACGTGGCAAAACTAAATCTTGTGGGCATAGCTTTGAAATTTTTCATGCCTTTCAAGGAAAGCAAAAATTTGAGAGGTCCAATGCATACTACTATCCTCAAGCAGATCCCTACTAAAAATCTGAATGTGTAGGAAAATTAGCAGAGGAGAAAGTACTGTGGGAAATAACTTGTCTATAGTTGAAGGAGACATGGGCAAGGAATGCAAGTATACTTCCGGAAGAATATAACAAACAACTGCGTTGCGTTGTCAACCACACCTTGAGATCAGAGTATACTTTCGAGACAAGTGAGTACAGTACAGAGCATCGTATTGCGCCATGTGCAAGACTGATCGTCGGTGCCCATAGCATGACGCCTGCATAGTTGCCGATCATTTTGATTTGCTCGAAGACGCCGCCATGTTACTCCCATAGTTTACAATCCGAATCCAGACCTCATATATATAGTACTTTCACCATATCCGTCATCATCAGATCGAAACAAAGCAGAATTCCACTACGAAGGACAGATCTTGTAGATAATTCTGTCCCGTATCGATCTCTGATGGAGTTTCCTATGAAACTGATGTGTTTCATGTTCTTCGCAGCAATATGTTTACCGTCAGTATTGGGAGCTCGTTCAATCATTCATTTCTAATGCTGCCTCCTCTCCCATGTTTTCGTACTGGTTTCATAGCTTCCACCTCTTCCTAGTCACATTCCGAAGCTACCTCCTTTTCCCACTCTCCCCTCTACTCTTCCCTTCTTCCTCCTTCTCCTTAACCACCAGTCGGAACTCCATAATATTAGTGCTTTCGCCGTCAGACTTCTTGCACGGTCAAACAAACATTGGGACATATCGCTCATCTTCCGGCTAATGTCTACGGGCGATACTCTCTGTCTTCAGATATTACAGCAACAATTTCTGCTTCTTGAACTTTCGTACCCATCGTGGTCAGTCTCATCCGAGGTGGATTGTTCACTCCAACACCTCTTTAAGTTTTGTCTTTTGATTCTCGTATTCAAAAATTTCACTAATATATCGTGAATAAATAATATAAATTTGGATTTTCTAACATTAATTTAATACATATTAATTTAATTAAAAAATTAAAAACTAGTTTAATTTTTTTATTTAAAAAATAGCTGCCTCACGCCCAATATAATATGACTTTCTTTGTCTTCATTGGACTAATTTTTGTTTAGAGATATGGTGTAGAAAAAATCAAAATTTAATTTTGTCTACAGTGATATTTAACATTTTCTTATTTAGGTTTACAAGATGGTGTGAATCGCCAAATCGCGTGAAGTCCCAATTGCGTACTTGATGCGCTTAAAACTCATTTACGCTGTTTGGGGTTCGGATGCATCTCAAAGTCGAAATCCACCTTTTAGAAAAGTTTTGAAAGTGTTCTCGACGTGACGAGATAGAGAAATTCCACCGCCATAAAGATCAATATGTTCCACAAAACTAACGTAAATCAGTAGTGTAGTAGAAAGATGCGACACACCAATGAATTCTAAACTCTGGTTGCTAACAGAAACAGGACTTATCACATACACACCTGAAGCTTACGAAAGTCTCAACCTGAGCGATAATCGAGGATGGAGGAAATCGGAAGGTAAGTATTAATGACTATATGCTTTACATGCTACTGTGTAGATGTCTAGTATTTGTCGGGAATCAATGAGACTCAGTACATTATATCTTTCCTCGCAAATTACAGCTATAGCATATCGGCCAAATAAAGTTTTCAGATATTTTCCACCCAACGAAGAAAGAGAACTAGACCCTGCAGGATGTCAACGGGAGAATTTCATCTGTGAAATTCGTGACTCACTGAGAAGAAAGTTTCTCGAGTCCTCATTCACTGTGACACGGTGATTCATTGGAGTCCGATCCATGAGGCCTGGAGAGGACTTTTCGTGCATCCCAGAGGGTTCATCAGATGTACAAAAGCTGCGAAAAAATTTCAAGACGGAGGAGGAGGAGGCTGTGAGAAGCACAGCACAGTTTCGTACTGAGCCAGGATCGGGCAAAACGATCGGACCAGTGCACGTCAAGTCGTCGTCTCTCGACTCACCCTCAGCTGGCTCGTGCAATTCATCTCCCATGGTGGCCAATTTGGTCCTCAGGAAACAATTGGGAGGACAATTGGTAGCTGAAAATCAGCCCTTTGTTCTGCTAGCGACAGCTGTGGAGTCCGTAATAACGGGAATGCTGGAGTTCATTACACGGTGGTTTCACTCTTGAGCATGGCCTCTTGAGGGAAAGAGAAGAAATATTGAGCTTCGATCAGTTCTCGAAAATCTTCAAGAGGATGGCAGATCGGACTCAGACTTCGATGGGAAGGAAAAGCAGTTGACTTAACCACCCTGACGGACGATTGACAAAAAGTGTAGGCTAGAAAAGAATGATTGTGAATTCTCCAGCGCTCAGTCGTCAGTCACTCAGGTCAATTCCCATTCTGTGCAGAGCCTTGTCTTGTCGAACTAGTTTGCTCATATGTATGGATGCATTGGTCGTTTGACTCGGTTCTGACCAGATTGCACTCTGTTTGGGCCTCCTTTGATCGGCACAACTTGCAAGACCAGACAACCTTACGACTCGACGACATTCCCGATTGACGACGGCTCCCAGTTGAAGGAGAATTCAACACGTGGGTCCGAAGGTTGACAAAATCACACAAAAGGCGAGGTAAGCTCGTTTCGAAAAATCCTCAGTCGCTTCGAACTTCGAATACCGACATATCGTCAGCGTATGCAGACAAAATGAGATTCTGTGGTAGACTTCAAAGATGCTTAAAGTGAGTGGACATCGAAGCAACTCATCATCATGATCACCAGATTTGGACTAGCTGAAGCTTTTAGAATATCCAACGCTTTTAGAATATCCAAAGCTCCCACTTACTTGTTCTGTCATCACACGTCAAACCTCTCAAGTCCACAGAGCGCGTCACCAAACGATCGGTAAAGAAGATTTGTGAAAGAAGATGAAACAAATATAATATCCAGTGTAAAGTCATTTATTGTCACCAGTTACAGAATCGAGATTTACACTTGTAATCTCAGACTCATTAGACAATAACTTTCAGTTTATGTTTAAATATCGTAAGAGAATAATCCATCAGAAGGTGGGAACCTTAATATTAAAACCTGATCTAAAAGTGCTACGTGGTGGGTGATATGTGCAGCAATGCAAGGCATCTGCACCGGATTCCATCTGGCCAGTGGATGCTTGCTTAAGTTCGGAAGCTGAGGAGGAGGTATGGATCTGAGACTACTGATGCAGAGTCAAGTGATTTGTTTCGATCCAACAGAACCACATTTACTCAAGCCGCAGAGGGATCTATGACTCAGACTCCTCGTTGAGTCGAAGAATGCCCGAAATTAAATCTTTGCGGCTTCAAAAATATACTTGGGGCTAGGTGGAACCTTGAAGACAAAAGCTCGGACAGGGACACTGGGTATATGGAGAATCAGAAGAAGACAAGCGTCTTGACGGCTGTGAAGCCGGCAGTTCGATCGACTTGAGACCTGGTGTTTTCAAGAGCAGAAAGCCTTAATACTGAGAAAGTACTAATCATCCAGAGGAAGTATACATGCAGTCATCGATGCTTCCATATACACACCTGCTGCACAAAGCCGATTGAGTTTTAAGAAACTTTTGCGAGAGCCTCAATCAGGTGAATCAGATTTTATCCCAGATGAATCAAGCTCACTTATTATCGCGAGAGCACTCTCAGAGACTTTAGTCATTGTCCCCAAGACTTGATATGCAATTCACGCAGGCAATGACCGTGTCCACGCGAGCGATGACTACGGGTCTTCTTGGTCCATGTTGTCCTCTGCGTACTCCACTTGACAAAAGCCGTCTCACCTATCACGATGAATAAAGTGAAGTATGATGTCGAGGTATTATTCGTGAAACCAGTCTAGGTTCAACCGTGCCCGGCGTAATGGTCCTCAGTCCGTCCAGGCGAAAAGAGATAATAGTCAACCTTTCGCATTCGATGAGCTGAAAAGCGACCAGGTCTGTGTGTGTGTACTCTGAGGATTTGTTGGAAAAAGTCCACAGAAGTTTCGTGTGGGAGTACACTTGTGGGCATCAGGTAAACAGATTTGCTTACAATTCAAGCCCCCGGGTGTAGGCGCCGCTCCAGGAAGTGTACATCAGCGTCCTCGTTCTCGACAGCGCAAGTTTTGGCGAAAGGGAAGGGCTCATAGCTCGCTTGCAACACGTCGCACCACACCTTACCTCAGCTTGCATGGCTGACACATAAAACCATCCGGCATCCATCCATCCCTTCATTCTCGTGCGGGCCGTCGCATTTAACTCTGCGTGTGTTGAACACATTTCGATTCGCAATTCAAAATCGGCGACATCCATTCAATCGAAAAACTGATCTCCGATATGTGTACGACGCATGCACGTGCACTGAACGAGGAAGTTCGATGAGTGATCAAGCGGCAGCAAGGTCGAGGCCTGGACCACGCAGCCTCACTCGTCAGGCTGAGAGAGTGAGAGCTCTGAGAATCTAGGCTGGTCTTGATCGAGGCCTGCAATGTCGGGCACAGACACAATCTCCAAGTTGTCGAATCTGCTGCCAACAGGAACATTTCTGGCCTTCCAGGCCGTGGCACCGCTCTTCACCAACAATGGAGACTGTGGATTCACCGAGAAAGTAATGACCGGCATCCTGCTGCTCCTCTTTGCCATCATCTGCTGGGTGCTCAATTTCACAGACAGCATCACCTTGCCGAACGGATCCGTGCGGTACGGCATCGTAACCAAGTCGGGGCTGTATAATCCTCAATTCAAGAACTCTAACATCGAGGGGGTGACTGGCTACTTCTACATGGATGACAAGTTCATCGTCAATGGATTCGACTTTGTCAACGGAGTGTGCGACTTGATTGCACTGGGAGCTCTGACTTTGCTCACCCCTCCCATTTCCACTTGCTACTACCCCAACATATCCAGCACGATTGTCAAAACCGTTCCGATTCTCGTTGCCATCGTTGTGGGAGGGTACTTCGCCTTCGCCCCCGCACCGAGACATGGAATTGGATTCTCTGCATCTGTTAAGAAGCCCGAGTCCACAACCGACTCCACTCTGGTAGAAAGCTCCAAGGGCGGTAACACGCAGTCACTTCTTACACCCAAGGCCGGGTCAGCGACAGGTTGGGATCAGAAGCTCACCATTGTGTCTTCGCCCGGTAGAGCATCTGTCTGATTTCACATTTGCTTGGTGAGACTCGGCAGACTTCTACTTCTGGATCCCCACTTCTACCTCTGGATTCTATATGCCCGCCATCTTCGTACATCTCACCTGTTCAGGCCATCTGATCATGCTCCGTGTTTCGAGGCTGAACTCAGCTGGTGATCACGTACACCGGGCAGCCCACTTTGCAGATAGATAGATAGATAGTCTAGTGGTAGCTGGATATATATTTACTGGTGTGAGCATCTTTAGATATCCGTTGACAATGTGGCTATTAGAGCATGAGTGATTGTCGAATTATCGAGCTTTAGCACTGCGGACGCATTTATGATTGAAAGCAGAGAGCACGCTTCGACCCGCCCATGTGATGAGTTCAAAAAATATAGTCAAGCGTGCTTTTTGATGCTCTGCCCTGTCCAGTATCAATCAGTGGCATTTAAATTACAGCAATCGGAGGCGAATATTGGCCTTCGATGATGGCCTAGAGACCCTCGAAGCAGAAAATTTTCCAGGGCTCGTTGTAGATTATGCAGAGTCTTCATACGGAGCAGCACAACTTCGTATAGAGGAATTGGGGCTTGCGAGACATTGTAGTGCAAGAATCCAACGAGTCCTGCATTCAGTTTTATTCGGCATCCTCCAACATGTAACTTTGGTATCATTTTATTCTTCATGAACAAGATCGAAGTGAACTCACTGTGTGATTTCACCGTCATGAGTCTCTAACAAACTTTACTTCAATCGCTACTGCACCCACCAATTGTCCAAAACCTCACTTTGTTCTAGAGTAGGCATCAGTTCTTACAGCTATCCCATCCCCTCCACTGCTTTGCTCGAGAGCACCGGGTTCCAGGTTTCCAAATTGTGACTACAACTGCTCAGCATTAGACACAGAAATGTGATGTTGGGTTGATCCTGCAGGGACCAACATCATTTTCACATCACAAGACACCATGCCTCTCCATGTTGGTTACTAAGTACACAATATACTCAAAAAGCATATCTTACTATCTGAATGACACCTCCTTCCAACGCCTTAGCCACTCCAGAATCTCAGTGCAGACAGGAAATCTTCGAAATCTATCACATTGCATAGCTACATTACGAGACACGTACACGAAACAGAGAGAATGTATCTTCTAAATGTTCACACGAAAGTAACTGGACACAGCGTCTTCATAACTCCACAATGGATGCACTAATCGTAAAAAGTAACCGGGCAACGAAAGTAAATGCGTGTAGAATACCGTTCGTCTCATGTCAGTTACTATGAACTCTTTAACACAGGAAATCAAGTGGGTACCGGTACCACTTACTCCGGCAACTCCACACTTCTCAGCGACCAATGGGCTCTAGTATCGAGGCCGTGCATGTTCTTATGTGAGGAAACGAGCACGCCACGTTGCTGGATCCTCGTTGTTGCAATCTAGAATCTTCTTGTCAGAAACCGTTAGAATATCCCACGTGTGGGATACCAGAGCAACACTCGAACCTGCCTGCTCATTTGTGAGTCAGGACTACGATCTAACTGTGGATTTCACATCTTTTGGTCTTTCACATCTTTCTCACTTTCCTTTCCTGCTAGAGTGAACGGAAGTTTTTCGATCGATCCTGCCCGGTGGGCGTACCTCTGGTTTGAGATGACATTTGACAGGGACGCATTGTGGGTGGCCTGATTCTTCTATTTGGTTTCGAGACATGTGTGTGCACTGCAAGTTGGTGAATTTCAAATTAGGTTTGGACAGCGAGGTCTAATGTCCGAATGTCACTTCCATGTCTTCTGTTCAGGCTGCACAATGTGTAGAGATTTCTCTCTGTGTCCAGGATCGCGCGATTGGATCATGGAAGCTCCATCAATCGAGATATCCCTCCTCAAGCTTGGAGGAAAAAAGAGGTAATGCCTTGCGGAACTGAATTATCTCGTCTTCGAGTTGCAGAAGTATCTGCTGGAGATGCAAGATTTTAGTGCACTCCTTGCCGTCGGCCTTCTCTCGTGTTCTCTCTTGTTTCTTTAGGTTTGCCGGCTTTCTTGGAAGTGTCACATGTATAAGGAGGCTATAGTCACAGATCCTTTCAAATCAGCTGGATCAGTCGAACGAGAACAATGACTACAAAGCTTCTACAATCACGGATTGCAGCAGAGTATTCATTCCTCTGTTCCGTACAGTGTTTTAATCCAGGCTGCTAATAGTAGCTTGCCAGCGTATCGACCCTGCTGACTTCGCAGCTGTCTTCTTGCTCGAAGAAAGCCCAGCCGGAGTCCGATCTCTCGTCCGCCACATCAGGGTCCAAGGTTCAGTGCTCGTGATCGCATGCGCTCAGGCATCTCGCAATCTGCGTATTCGATTCCGGACGATCAGGCCCGGCTTCTGGAGGGATAGAGCCTTGCACCCCCAACAGGTATGTGCACACTCTTCTCACGCCCTGCGTATGTGCCCTTTTATCCTTTCTGAATGTCCTCCATCTCCGCTTTCAATCACGTTTCTGGACGAAGAAGTCTACCAGATTTTCAGCCGCAGATGTCCAATTTGATACTTGCAAATCGTCCTATCGAGATCTTGATGCTGCGGATGCCAGAATTTTATCGAGGCTGTCGCTAACAGTTATTCATCAAAACGAGAATCAAATTGGGCCAATTGTGAAAGAAGTCCAATTGATATCTTATTTGTTTCCGTCGGTGGTCAACCAGCCGCCCTAGCTCAGTTGGTAGAGCGCAAGGCTCTTAACCTTGTGGTCGGGGGTTCGAGCCCCCCGGGCGGCGCTGACCAGCATCGGTGGTCTAGGGGTAGAATAGTTCCCTGCCACGGAACAGACCCGGGTTCGATTCCCGGCCGATGCAGTTTTTTGCCAATGCCTGATGGCGATGGCAGGCAAGGCTAGAAGAAATTCTCGCATGAGGATTTTATATCAATTCGATTTTGTCCGATGGCGGCGTTGTCGAGATGCCGAACAAGCTCCACAGGTGCTGACGGTAGAGCAGTTCGTTATTTTTGTTATTTGGTCCATGGAGGTCGCAGACGCTAAGTGGCAGCCGACGTTTGCTTCACTGATGGTGACTCTGTTTGCTGCTGCTGATCCTTGATGGTGATGCACAGCGTCACTTCGCCTCTTGAAAAGTGGCAGGATTTGATTTGCCTTCCGAACTTGGCAAGGATGTGGGCAGTCTTCCTCCCTAGCTAGTCTTCGGTGCTACGGATCGACAGCAGGCTGCACTGGAGATGGTAGACATTTCAGCCAGTATGAAGGACGCAGACGTTGTGTGAAGTGTGAGGCAGAAGTTGCGTGTTAGCATGCCTCCCACAGTCTCTGTCCTCTGTGTTGGTACCTCTCTTAGACATCCACAATCAGCATTGACACTTCGAGTGCCTCAAGCAAGCAGTGAATGTGGAGTAGTTACATTTCGTGTTTGCTTTTCATCGGCTTTCTCCATTATTAGGAGATGTGGTTCTACTAGGGCAGCACATGGAACAAAACCCAGCGGCAAACGCCATCAAGAGAGATCAAGGCAAAGACCACTCAAGGCCAGAAGAAGAGTGGAAGGGGTGGTCCATCTTACGATGAAGAGCTGTCTCTCCGACTGCAGGCAACTCGTAAGATCCGGTAATCTGGAAATGGGGTGCCGAACAAGCATCACCTTTAATAGTTATGTCGGCCACCATAGCTGAAGCTAATGCACAGCTGAGCACAAACTAATCTGCTCTTACCAGACTGGTTCAATAAGAGGTATGCATATGAAATGACTCAGTCATTTTTCTTGTATAGTCAAGCAGGAAAGGAGTGCTCTTTGATTTGTCACTCCCAAGTGGATGTACACGTTGCAGACCATAGACCACAACATGTCCTGTTCTATTCTATCTTTCAACTACAGCGACTGACCTATCAAGGACAAGCGAGCTCCACTATTGAAAAAGTTTGGGCTCTTATTTGAGGAGATGAGAAGAACAAGGCCTTGCCTTCTTCTAAGCAACTAACAGCAGGAGGGCCATTTGTGCAGCTTCATTGTCCACCCATTAGAAAAAACTTTCTACAATCTACTGAGGCCTCCAATAGGTAATTGCCACCTTCCTCTTGACCAAAAGGTTTCTTCTTCCTTCGACTAGCTTTTTATTCAGAGACTGGGTACGAGGGATCGACTCGGGGATTGATATTGCATGCTTGTTGGTTCAAGATGTAGCGTAGTATGTGTATGTTTCTTTTCACACGCGATTCAGTCTGGGCTGGATGATCATGCATTGAAAGTAGCGGTCTAGACCGAATTCAAAGTACTGTTAGAAAGTGCCGATATGTCTTTCACCTTCAACTTTTTCTGTGGACCTCTACTCTGATACAGTCAATAGAAAACCCGCTCCTGCCTTCGCGGATGATGAGCTTATTTCTATTTCCACTCACACAATATTTAGCGCTAGCAGCAAATGGTATTTGTTGCACTCCTATAGCCCACTCTCTTGATCATACATCAGATGTCGGTTTCCTCTGGCAAGTCCGATCTCGCAATCGACCAACATGTCACTACAAATGACGGAGCTTTCCTCTGCATCGCAGTAGCCGACCCCAGCATCAGAGCAGGCCAGGGAGAGGGTGCTGCAAAACAGTGCCAGCTACCTCCTCAGCTGCCTCCCTTGTCAAATTTGAGTGATCTACGTCTGCCTTCCTCACAGCGTGTCTTACCGCAAGCAGATCGCCTGACATTTGTTGCCTTGCGTGATCAGGCAGCGACTTTCAAACGTAGTGCTGTCTGATGAACTGGCGGTTCTGCTTCTCTTTCAGATTTTTGGACTTGGTCTGATGAGGGAGTGAGGAAATGAGTGGCAAGGATCAAGACCCTCACTTCCGGACGAGCTCTCTCTTAGTTCAACGTGGCCAGGTCTGTACTTCTTCTCTTCGCCCTGCCCCTCTCCTCGTTGTGGAATCCGCTCACCTCAACGTCCTTCAACTATGATTTGAAATTTTTCAACGGAGTCCTACTGACGTTACATCAGGCTGTAGACTTTTATCATTCCTTTGGAATGACGATTTCTGCAACCTCCTAGTTGGCAGTGATTAAGAACGGTCAGGTCAAAAATTGAAATGTAAATTAGTTTTGAAAATATTTATGTATGTTACTGTTTCTCCATTGTACATGAAGCCGCCCTAGCTCAGTTGGTAGAGCGCAAGGCTCTTAACCTTGTGGTCGGGGGTTCGAGCCCCCCGGGCGGCGTTATTACTTTTTCCCTGGGTGTGTTTATTTGGGCTTTGAAGGTTGTGGTCACTGCTCACTGCTCATTTTGGCCAAGCCCACAGCTGCTCTTCTTCGTGGATTTTTGCCTTGAATTCGGTATTGTTGGCTGACTTCATCGTGATGAAATCGACATGTTTATATTTCAGACTGGATATCAGTCTGATCACATGGTTGTGAAATAGAACATTTATTCTCCTACCCTATGAAGGAATTTGGTTTGAGATTTGATGTTCACTGAGTCGTAGTAATAAGGGGAATAACGGATCTATGTAGTCCTTTAGAGAGTTCATTGTAATCATCTTCATGTCTCTAGTCCAATTGGGGGTAGAGTATGCGAGCTTCTAAAGTATTTCCAATGGCGCTTTGGGGACGTATGGAGGGTTCGTTCCGAAAGCCCCATCGGAGAGTCCGTTCGTTCTCTTCAATGTAGGGCTTGATGTTGGCATTCCCATCTTTTTAGCTGTCCACTCGGCTCCTTGCATCTCCCGAGATTGAACCTCGTTTGTTCGTCGAGATAGTACTCATTCACCTCGTGCATAGGTGTCTAAGATGAGTTTCTTTGCGATTGAATCACGAGCCCATAGAGTGCATATATGTGGCAAGTTTGTAGTACACTGGATTCTCACTCCTTACCATTTTGGTGCAGTATTAGACACTTGTGTGGGATGTATAATTAAATGTCTCTGCTATCAGATACACAGCAGAAAGGATACTCCCAGTTTTGTTGTGGCACACGTCCCACCCTCACAGCATCTGTACTGCTGCTTTCCTATACCTTGTGTGCAGGGATGGCTATTTTAGGCGACCGTATACCACCGCGCCTAAATTACCTAAATGTCAGTTATTTATTTTGTTACCACGTCAGTCTCATAGGTCACGGAGGTTAGAATTCGGAGTGGTAAATAAATTTTCTTTACCCAAGGTACTCACAGCCCGATTGCAAGCGTTATCACTCTCTCCCCCTTTACTTCCACTTTCTCCCCCTTTACTTCCGAACCCCTCATTAGTTTTCAAGTGCACTCGAGGTGACTTTTTAGTAGAAATGCGTCGAAATGACCTAAATTAATTTTCTTGAAGCGAGTAAATTAAACGTATTTAGGTAGTCTAAATCACCTAAATGAATTTTCTTGAAGCGATTAAATTAAACATATTTAGGTGTTTTAGACTACCGAGTAATAAAACCACGCCCGCTCATGTGCATGGCCTGTCCAGGAGTTGTTGGGCGTGGACAATGCACTATGTTACTCATTACATGTACTTCACTCCATCTGCTGTCAAAGACTACCTCTAGTTTCAAATGTCTGCCCTGATCCGTGGAAGCGAAGAGGCAACTCTTGCTTCCAAAGTTGGCAATCTACAGTTGAGACTCATTTGCAGGAATACTTTATATTTCGTTCGATCGGAGGAACATTGATCTGTACTCCTCTCAGACCTCCGGACTCCCGAGTCCAAATTTTCCCTTCAGCAAAAGACTTGTTGCTTGTCGACGCACTTTACCAGACTAAATTCGGATTGAGCGAATCTAACAATTTATGCTCTTGATGTGGACGTGTAGTTCCGTTAGCTAAGAAGGTCGTGAGTCCTGATGGATTGAAATGCACGTCTTAAGGTGCAATTCCATCCCACAGGGCGTGGTTTCACAACTCGATTGCAGGTTTCTACGTGGGTACTCCATAAATGTTTGTCGGCTTCAAGGCATCGGATTGTACCGGAGACAGATCCCTTTGTGCACGCCTACTGTTTATCATTCAATATTTGATTTGCAGATCATTTCATCCCCACCGCAGGTGTGTGAACAACAATAACTACCCTCCTGTACCTTCTTTCTCAGTTGAATACAAAAAAAAACTATTATAGCAAAATATGACCAAGTCCTATCACACTTATCACCTCCTATTGGATATTTCGAACACCATACATCAATTATTGACCGTCACAAAAGCTTGAATGATCTTTAAACAAAAATATTGGATTTGTGAATGGCGGCCTATGACAACTAGCGATGACTAAGATTATTCAAATCCACATCTTCTCCACTTCAATCTTGAAGTTGATCTAAGTTGATCTTAACTTAATGGTTCCCAAGTTTGGTATTGTCTTTTTCAAACATTTATTCAAAGGTGTACACCAGAGTCCTGCATTGGGCTGTACCCATATCCATAACACCGGGGGTCAACTTTACCCACCCATTACCTATCCATGTTACTTTGTCCATATTCATTAACCACTCAATTCATACCCATTGTGATCATTTATTTAAGAAAACTTTGAAATGATTTTAAAGAAGAAATATTTATAATTTGATCATCTGATTCATATAAATCCTTCAGAAGTGAAAAGTAATGTAGAGTACAGTGCTGCGGCACTAAGCAGCATGAGAACGCAACCATCTATGGTTTTCTCTCATTTGCTCTTCACCTTTTTATCTTCGGATCCAAGATTGCTTAACATTCTATGAAGGTGATGGAGAACAAAAGAAACTTTTAATTCTAGAGAGCATAGAATACCCTAATTTATGAGACAAGAATTCATATCAAAATGTAATATGATGTCTAATGCATCCCATATTTAATCGTTTTTACTACGAGTATCCGAAAATGCCACGTACAATTTATAACTATCTGGACAAAAATGAAGGGATATTCATCCATGTGTCCTTCATCTTCGCTCTCACTCTCTTTTCATGTGACAATAATGAACAATGAAAAAACATGCTTCAGCAGTATGGGTGGAGGCACAATAATGATGGGGTGTCTTCCAGAAGGCCAGAACAACAATACATTCTAGGTTTATTCAACACATTGAGTGCAATAGGAGTGCGTGGGTAGTACCCACACACGCGTCCAAGCCCTTACCCACCCATTGTGCCATGGGTGGGTATTGGGTAACATTGTAAGATTCTGGTGTATACATCAGAAAGAGTGTGTATATATATTATATATAAAATTTATCAGAAATTTAAAGTATATTAGCATGATAATCTATAACATGTAGACGAACATTCCTCTATTGTGAAGTTTGAAAGTGAAATTGGATACACCCTGTCTTGTCACTCCATCCATCAACATACTTTATTTCCATTAGCAGGAATTTTCATTGCAAGACTATATAACAAAACCTTAATTCTACACCAATTAAATTTTATGATTATAAATACATACCTCATGCTCCACCAGCAGCATTTTTCATTCAAAAGGCAACTTTTAATGCAACATGCGGAACCCGTTTGCACATGCGAAAGGACTGAACATCACATCAACCAGCAAATGCTCAATAATTAGTAATAAGTGTATTCCCATCCTTTTTATTTATCAAGTCTGAGGAGACACCTCTAGCCAGACCTCTGGTTACTTAATTGTTCGGGGCTGGGTTGTCTCCTCAATTCTATCATGCCCTGCGACTATTTGGAAATCTTAGCGGATCTCTACCGTCACATAATTTATATCGTCGCTCGAAACTGCTTCTCTGAAGATCCTGTCCATTTATAGAAGCTCGAGTAGGGCATAAATGTCGACCAATCGCTGAGGAGCAGTGCAGAGAAAAGAGATTGTGCGCTGTCAAGCACTTCCTGTGATTTGGGAGCAGCTCGAGGAAAGAATCTAAGGCGCTAATACTCGACCTGTGCGGTGCGCAAGCCCCCTTCGCCGGTGTTCACGTGATTCCATGGGGACGGACGACTCTAGAGCTGTGGTGATGGCGCCTCCAACTTCCATCGGCGATGATCCAGCGAAGACTGTGAAGGAGAAGGCGGCCGATGTCGATAACTCAGTCGCGTTGCAGAAGATGAAGGTGCGCTTGAAGAAAATGAAGTTGCGCATGAAAAAATGCGAAAGGCGCTTGAAGAAATTGGAAAAGAGACTGATTCCACTGGAGTGGAATGAGGAAGTAGGGAGCTTGTTCTACTAGACAGAGCGAGCCGTGCGGCTTCATTCCTTCAAGCGACGATACGTGAATAGCTTGCAGATTTTCCTGTTTCGGCGACGCTGCCAAGGCGCATAACTCTTCTCAATGAAAAAGGTTCGCGCTCTTAGCTTACTTCTCTGAAATGACCTGTTTCTCTCTGGCTTTTTAGTCCCGAGTACACATTTGTGTCGGTCTAATCTATCCTTTTTTCTCCCATATTTTTTGCTGCTCGAGCAGTGCCCATTAGGGCAAGTACTGTTTCTACGCTAATCGTGAGATGAATCTATTCAGTATGCGTTTGTTGTTGAGCTTATGGAGGCAAAGTCGAGAACGGGAACCAATTGATTAGTTGTTTGTAGGCCGTCGAAGGTTGCTACGCTTTCTTTCATCTTGTCAGATGAAGTAGAAATCCTGAGTGTCATCCCAGTGGTGACGATGTGAGGTTATTGAACACTCATAGAGTGATTGCTACCATAATTCAATATTATCATCATCAGAGTTGAGATACCTTGTGCTCATTGTACGTTATCGAATCGCAGAAGTGACCTGTGTATCTAACTAACTGTATCATCTTTGGCAGGTGTTCAAATTGTTTCGATAGTCAGCAACTCAACTTCCTCTGTCTCCATATCTGATTTGACCTGCTCAGTGAATGCCAGAAGGTAGCAATGGGTCTGAAGGTGCTGTATTCTCCAACACCTACTTTATTCTCAATTTGTGATACTGCTAAGCAGTCTCGATCACCAACCGACACGATTTTCGCTTCTCTCTTTGTTTGTATATCCAACTCTTAGATAGAACGATCCATCGTACATGTAACGGACAGACAGGACAGAATTGACATGATTCTCAAGGTAGTCTCAAGTATATCTGTGATGGAGATATGTAACGACACTGCTGTGTTTCTGTCTCTATAGGTATGATGTTTGACAAAATTGGTTTTCTGTTGACGCAATTCCAAGTCTGTACTGTCTATCGCACCTCTAAGAACTTCACTTCAATGCTATGGTCAAAGAAACCATCTCTAACGTTTGTTCAGAAATTGGCGATCACCAGCTCGCTCATGCGCAAAGCACTAATTCCCTTCAAATCTCTTCAAGCAAGACCTTGAGGAAGGCACATCACCGAAGTTCTACAGCACAGTTATCGACTTCCAGGATACACCTTGGCAGGAAACTGTATCAGCACGTGAACGCTCAGTGCGACATGTTATGGTACTTGACCACAGCGTTGAATTGAAGTTCTCAGAGGTGGAATACAAAGTTTGTCTATGACAAAACTTAGAGTTGGATCTTGGGAAGAACGTGTCAACCCTAGCTATTGTCGTGACCAATTGTGCAGTGAAGCAATGATGGAGCAGTAGCTGCACATGGAACTCGATGTGAGCTTGTTAGGTGTCGACAGCTGGATGCGAAGGTTTGAGAGGATGGCTTGTCGCAAGTAAGTCATTTCCTTCGGCCCATATCACAATGTGCGTGTTTGATGCTGAAGTACAGAAAGAGGAACCTACTAGAACTCGTTTGTTACCAAGCAGCAGGAGCTCCATCATGTGAATGAGATCCGGCCCTCTAGGAAGGAAAGGCAGACACCTTGATAAGCCACATACATCACGACGAAAGACTGAAGACGGCTTGAAGACATTCTGAATGTTGGTAGCGAGAATTTTCGAATTTCATCACTACTTCATGCTTTCAATCTACGACACAATGTTAAAGGGGATTTGATTGAGTTCTGAGATACATTGTGCGGGGAGTGTCATATCGAGAATTTTGTCATCCTTTTCATATCAATCGGCTGATGAGATATTGTATATCTTACATGGCAAGTTACATCACAATAAGCACTGACTTCATTAACTTTGGATTTAAGTCATATCAGCATTCTTCTTATATGCTTGCATACTCAATTGATGGACGTTAAAGTTCGCATATCTGTGTCATTTGATGAATATGTATGTATGAAACGCCACAATCATCTTCAGTTATATCATAGTAATGGATGCGAGATACCTGTGACTCTTTTTCATATGAGGATTGGAATTCAAGGAGTGATTCCATTTGAGAGATGTCATTAAGCATTTTGGATTTCATTAGAAGTTATCTCGCTAACTGCCTTATATCGTGAAAATTGAAGTGGCAATATCAATTAGGTTAACATAATTAGATGAATGTTAAGAATCAGAATGGCAATGTGATGGGGATAAAGAATCTGAAATATTGATATGTACAATCTGTAAAATTCACAACATTTGATATTCTTCAAATCTTAGCTAATGTGTTATGAGTCGAAAGGATTGGTTGAAGATTGCACTGGTTTACACGACAATGTATGGCGTTGGGTTTTATTATCACTTTCTAGTTGAATAGTGTCGTTGATGATAGAGTGACGATTACTAGGCTGTTTTACATGGAGCTACAACCTATGTTAGATGAATGTAAACAATGAACTGTCAGTAAATTATATTTAAGTTGTGAAAGAACAGTAAAACTAAGTTTAGTGCTACTTCTAATGTAATGTCAAGTTTGAATAAAACCTTAATAGTTCGTCACCTTCAGAGGTATTGATTCGAGACTAGTAAGTTTGAAAAGAAAGCCATCTATTTAAAGTTTTACTCAAAAATACTTATAATCGAATGTGCAGCAAGAAAAGGTAGTATAGCACATTTTATTAAGACTGGTTGATATTACTGCAAAGATTTTCATTACAAGCAGTTCCTAATATATCATTTTTATCAAACAATTTGACAGTTTACGATTAAATTCTCATTAACCTAGAGTAACGACTTTAATCTTAACGAAATTTTTTTAAAAAATCTACAAATGCAAGTCATTTTTTTTTGGACATTTAACATATTAGATAACAAAGAATACTATAAAATGATTGAAATTTTTTAGTAAATTTTACAAATTTACTAAAATTAATTGGTCTACGTCTAATTGATAACAAAGATTATTTGAATAGAGAGTTAAATCTCCCAATACTGCCCCCTTATGAATGACACATTTTATGACTGACACAAAATCCCGAAACCATAAGTTCTAACTTGTAAATCTGCTCGATAAGAAGGGTGCGTCACAATGCATAGTAATAAGACTAAAAAGAGGTGGCATATATATATTAAAGGTAAATCTCAACAATTCACACTTTCTGGATTTAAGTAAGGGTTTAGAGATTAACCCTAAACCCATAATTTGCTACATATATTATCATTAATTGTTTCACTCAAATTTGCTTGTATTGATTTAAATTTGAATGTAATTATAATGTCATGTTAACAATGCAGATGTGCAAATGGATACCATTTTGAAACCAAACAATACATTTATAAAAAGTCATAGGATTGATGCAATGCACAATAAGAAATCTATGAATATTTTCATATATAATTGACAATTCCCAATCAGCGACCATATGGTGTCGTAGTTCGTACGAGTTCTCGTTGCTGTAGATCTCCAATTTCTCAGCAAAATTCTCTCCCGGAGTGATGTTTGGGCATTTTCGATTGCGTGCGATGGTTCCTCTCACTTTGGAATTTCCTATCTCGACATTCGGATTCGTTTGAGTGTTGAAGGTGTCCTCTACAACTTTCATCTGGTTCTGGTTCCGTTTTACGATCGACACACTGCTTTGAACGTCACGTTGTCACGTTGTTGGAAAAGGAAGCGGAGAATCATATCCTTCGAATTTGGTGTCCACCTCATCAGATTGATCTTGTTATCAAAGGCTGCACAAAGAGAATGGACGGTGGCGATTTCTACAAAACTGCCCATGCATTCTCGGTCCATTTACGGGCCCAGCAGAATCTCGCCACAGTTATGGGCGGCACCAAATGTCCAAAAGACACGACGCGATGGGTGGCCTTTGGTAAACTAATCAAGTGGATCCTCCAGCATCGAGTCGAACTCTTTAACCATATCGAATCCAGGAACCCTATTCAATCGCCATCAAAACCTTGGTGGATCATGGCCACTGCTGTGACTTCTATGTTCGACACCGTAGAAGTTACGTTCGCGATACTGCAGTCTCGGGACCTTGTCCTTTCACAACAGCAGGGCGAAATCGATAACCTGATCCTCCGTCTCTGTAACAGTATGTGCATTCGTCACGAAGACATTGACAAGTCTTTCCTCGAGATCAACCAGACAGACTTTTACAAGCTGGATGCATGGTGGATAAGCATGGAAACGATCGTTGGGCACGTCAAAGATCAGGGCTCGTGGGCGCGGGACATGTTCTCTTCATTCACTGACGATGTTAAGGCTGCCACTTTGGGTGGCATTGCCAAATTCGCCATCGAACTGATAATTGGCTTGAAAAAAGTTCGAGCCGAGCGTGATTCCAACAACAACGCGTCCAATGAAGACGCACCACCCGTGATGCCTGCCCAGCTGATCCGTCTCCGCCCTCGTCCTGATCTCGCCCTGATCTTTTCCGGATTCGTCTCGCAAAGTTCTGGACCGCTGCCCAAATTGAGGAAGTTGAAGCGGATCACCGAGATTTGATCAAGGCGTATGAGAACGAGGAAACTGTCCGGCGTACAATTGATCGACATGACCTGAAGACGATGTTTAACGAAGCCTGGGATTCGTTGAAGAACCGATTCAAAACACTTCGGTGCTTCTGCAGCGGCTTGGCGACCGCCTTCGCCAACACGACATCGGTTGAATCCGATTTTTCGGTACTGAAGTGGGAGGTCGACTCGAATCGGACTTCTTTAACAAATTTGACTATTGAAGGCATATTCCAGAGCAAGCAACACGAACTTTTAAGTCAAATTTAAATAGATGCCACTTATAAAACAGAAATTGTGCCACTTTTAAGCAAAAAGTGGCATTGGGTGGCAATTGCCACTTAATAGGAGGACTGATCAAACCCCAACACTAATGTATGTTACTATTAGTACTTTATATTAAAATTATGCATCTCCCAACAATGACATCCAATTTTAACATCAATGTATGTTACTTTTAGGAGGTTACACGCACTTTACTCTTGTGAGTGACAGACACCTCACAAAAATGACGTAAAACCTAAGTTACAATATATGTCAATATTGAAAGTTTTAACTCTGTAAATAAAAAAAGTTCTCTTTTTGAATTTAAAGTTCGACATTGGATATAGATTTATTTAAGATAAATGATAAAAAAAATTTCTCTGAAATATATAAAATAGTTTTTGTGATATATTTTAGTAATATGTCATATGATGAGATTTATGTCATGTAACATGTTCATAATTTTTTCACTTATATAAAAAATCCACATGTTTATCCAAAAAATCATTGAAATCAAGATTTAGTTATACATATATAATTATTTTGTGAATATTTGATTAATTTAAAATACTTGAATTAAATAAATTATTGATAAAAAAATCATTGCAGTTGAAAATTTGATATATGAATAAATTCTTCATGATCAGTTTTTTGAATTCATCTTTAAAATCATGAACATTTATTTATATATCAAAATCTGAAGATTGATTGATGTATATTTATATGCATCAATGAAAGGTTTTGTTAATATTAGATGGATATTGTTGTTAATAATAGATAATATTTTGATTTGTAAATGTCAATCAAGAAAGTTTATTTCTCAAATTCAAGCTTTGATGAAATGATTTTTATTGTGTATATTTGCAAATGTGATCAATAAGTCATCGACATGAAAAAATGAAGAAGAAATTCTAACTTTTGAATACTGAACTTGTTGGACATGACGCATCACAAAGAATACCTAGTTTTGATTATTGATTCATCGAGGGAACTAATCCCTGAAACTCCGCCAAACACGGAGCATTGAATCATCCAAGAGTATGCAACAAGAAGTTATCAACATTTCAACATTTTTGAGCTCGTTTTAAGTCAAATAACGACCATGAGTAACTTTTATGTGTGGTTCTTTGGACCTTCTTTGAAGGCGTGAGTTCTCACAGATCTTGGATCACAAAATGATATTAGATATTGAGATTTAGTACTCGACTTTGAAGACTACCACAAGTGTTTTAATTGAAGCTCTTGCAAGTCAAAATCGATGCATTGTGTATTGTTTTGTCCTTACAATTGAATTGAAGTCTTCAGTCAAAGCTCTTGGAAGTCAAAATTGATGCATTATGTATTGTTTTGTATTAAAAATTGAGTTGAAATTGTTTATAACTTATTGGTGTTTGATTTAGGAGAATTATCTTTCTATTATGATTTAAAAATTAGATGGTGACACTAATCATGAACTTAACAAGTCAATGAAAGCTCTCAGTAAGATTTTTCTCAAAATGTCTTTCGAGTAAATGCACAGGAGACAAGAAACTTAAAGAAATAACATGAAAGTTATATGTTTTATGGACAGAGTATTAAGCTTGGATTAGGATCAAAATTGGACTGATGGTGAGGTTGTTTGGAATAGAATACTCTATGCCTAGGATGTTTTTTACAAGGGAAGTGAAAATTAAAGACTCTATGTTGTTTGCATAGGAAGTAGAAATAGAAGACTCTCAGTCTAGTATGTTTCTACATGAAAAGTAGAAACTTACATGTGAAGTTTTGTAGTGTGAAGGAAAAGAATTCAACTTTGTTTTTCTTCAATGGATTGAAAATGCGGATGAACATGACTAGGTACAAGCGTGTTACACGGTTTGGCTGCGCTTTCCTGTTCTCTCTTAAATGCACATCCAATGACTAGTAAAGATTCGGATCCTTGGGTCTTGTTCTTTTACACCTTTGTAGGATGAATCGAACAAGCCGTTCTATTTTTGCACTTGCATCGAATGATCGCATGAAAAGTAGGTTTCATCTATTATTGAGGTTAAACTGGATGAGGAGTGTGTGAGTAGTGCTATTGAAGTTACACATCTTTTCAATTCATGTTTTT